AATAGGGTGGAGGCATATGATATGGCTCAAGAAAATAGTTCGGATATAACACCAATTGATATTCTTGATGCTATAACATTTGCAAGTGAGGCATGGAAAATAGTAAAATCAAGTACAATTAAAAATTGCTGGAGAAAAATGTGTATTTTACCAAATTTAGAAGACGATTTTGACCAAAATACTATTGATGACGATATCAAGGAAATTACTTTAGAATTACAAGACATTATTAATGAATTAAATTTACAAGATCCTATTACAGCTAAGGAGTTTATTTGTATTGATGACGAGATTCCAATAGAATCATTATCAGATAAAGAAATTATAGATGCGGTAATTTCAAATCCTGAAAATAATAATACAGAAGAGGATGAAGAATCCGAAATAAATATTATTACTAATAAAGAGGCTTTGAATAGTTTAGAAAAAGTAATTCTTTATTTTAAAAATCCACCCGATGATATTACAATTAATTACACAGAATTGAAATCTCTTAATATTTTAAAATCAAAAATTAACAAAAAAATTCAAGATAATGTAAAGCAGTTTACATTAGATAGTTATATGAACTTATGTTAAATACTTGAAATATGTAAATACATAATTGTTGATAATAAAATTCAAAAAACTTTTGTTAAAAGAAACTTTTTTTGTGCTAATATAAAGTTTACTATAAAGAGAACTTTCGATTTTGTAAATATTCGTTATAGTAAACAAAAATGACTGGAACCAAGGGTTCACTATAACGAGCTTTGACTGTAGTACTTCTCATTGGCAAATATCTTAATAAGCTGAAGCAATTGTATATAATTTTTTAAAGAGAAGAAAATTTTATTTACTATAATAACTCATAGTAAAATTTCAAATATCAATAAATTTAACTTAAATAAATTTCATGAAATCAAAATAAAAATAAATTTTATAAAAAAAAAAAAATATTATTTTGCATAAAGTTAAATTAAAATTTCCATTAATATTTTTCTATTAATGGAAAAATAAATATAAAACTTTTTATCAAATCATCAAAAATACACTTATTCATCAAACTTTCATCATTCAGGAAATAATAAATTATTTACTTATCTTTATATAAATTATTTATTTTTCAAACAAGAAATCTTGAAAATTTCATGAAACTAATAATTATTTTATCTTTTCATTATAAAAAAAGTTCAAACATTTAAAATATTTATTGGAATAGATAAAAATAATTTTTTTATTCATTTATATTAAAATTTTATATAAGCCAGCTTGCGAGCCAAAACTTTATAAAAAAAAATTTTACTTAAAATATATTTAAAATATTTAATTTTCTTCAAAATATACTTAATTTTTTTATTTTATACTTAAAATATACTGAAAATTGAATTTTCACAAAATTTGAATTAAATTGTATTTAATATATACTTAAAATATATTTAATTTACATTTAAATTTTACCCATTTCCAGTATATTTTAAGGATATTTAAAATAAGAATATTTTAAGTATATTATTATATATTTAAATTATACTTAAATGATATTTAATTTTTGCCTATTTCAGTATATTTTAAGTATAAAATAAAATTTTAAGTTTATTTTAAGTATATTTTAGCAAAAATATTTTTTATAGGGAAAGTACTTTAAAAATATATTGGCTCACAAGTTGGCTTGCAAGCTAATATATTTTTAAAGTACTTTTGACTCGTAAGCTGACTTATGTAGAGCTTTAATTTATATAGATAGTAATTATTTAAATAATTATTCTCCTAATAGGAATTATTACTTAAAATCCTTTCCTTCTGAAATATATATATACATATTTTAAATTTACTTTTAAAATTTTATATGATATTACTATACTACCTATTATATAATAAAAATAAAAATTTTAACAGAACTATCAAAATAATATATAATAATATAAATAAAAATAAAATAAAATAATAAAAAAATTCTTTTTATAGAATAAATGTTTTTTATAAAATACAATTCTTTTATACTTAATTAATAAAATATAATTTTTTTTTATCTATCTAAAATACCAGGATATCTGCACCATATTACTGATTATTTCTCTCATAATTTTTAATATTACTATAATTTATAAATAAGCTCAGATTTATAATAGATGAGTTTATTTGTATTTATTATTTTTTTTTTTTTTAAATTGTAATGCATTTTGGTAAGTTTATTTGTATCAAGATCATTACTATTAAAAATATTGTTAAATGCATTACTAATACTTTTTTTGGTTTTCATGATTTCATTTATTTTCTTGTATATATTTTATATAAAATATAAAAATGAATTAATCAAATATTTCTAATGTTGAATAAATAGAATTGTAAATTTACTATAATAAACTTTATAATAATTATAGAAGACTTCAGTTTTTTGATATGTTGAAACTTTATAAGCAACTCAAATTTTAATTCAGAGAAGATAATATAGAAACTTTTAACTAAATTTTCAACTAACATCTAATCAAATATACCAAAAAACTGTAAAAAAGGTACATTGATTTCTTTAATCTATTTATTAGTAAAATTAAAATTAAATAAATCATTTAAAAATAAACTAGTTAATTCAGCAAAATGGAAATGATTACTACTTAATTGCTTTTACTTCTGTAAGTTTTGCAAAAAACTCCTATTTTTCAATATCAACTCTTGATATTATTAAAAAATATACATCATCTTCTATATTCTGCACTCTTGCTTAATGAATAGAATAATTCACCCCTTTATATATATCATTATTTAATAATTTCTCTTTATAAATAAAACTTTTGAACTTTAGAATAACTCATAAAAATGGAATTATAAAGTAAGCAAATCTTATTATACCTACCATTTTTGTTATACTATAAAATTATTCCTTAACCTTTCAATAATATATGAACAGGTTTTAAAATCACATCAATTTCTATAGTATGTATATAAAGTCCAACATATTACTGTTTTTACTTCTATAGTAAAAAATCATTAATATATAAATCAAAATAAATCACTAATAATTTAAAATATATTTGTATAAGTAACTGTTTTTATCAGAATCAATATGCTTTTTAATACAAAATTTGTATATTACTATCTGTAAAAAAAATGATTAATTAATTAATATGCATATGTATAAGCTAAATTTAAATTAATAATACTTACATTATTATAATAAATAAGCTTTCTTTATTGGTTAATTCAAAAATTTATATTATAGACTTATATAAACTTTCTATTTTCAACAGAAAACCACTTTTTCATCATATGTGCAAATAAATCAATTATCCTAAATATACTAGATCATAATGTAACTTTTTCAATAGCAGTTAATTTTTTTTTATTTTTGACCACAATTGTGTTTTTAGATATCTTTTTGTATAAATGTCACCAATATTCTGATCAGAAAACAACATCCAAATTTTTGGCTATCAAAGGTAGAATGTAATCCTTTTAGGTGAATTCTAAGTAATCCCATATTGTTAGACCTTCCATTGTATATCAGTTGATTGATATAAATCAAAGGTCTGGTTGGATACTCCTTCTCCCAATTCTTTGCTACATCAGTATCTGGTCCCTTAAATAGAAGATTTAGCATTAATATATATTATCTTTAAAAATATAATATTTTCATTCATTCCGCCTGATTTCCATTCCACCAAACTTAATTACAGGCAAACTTGAAGGTCATTTGTGCCCATAATACTAGCTTTGTGCTCAGTTCAAAGACTTGAATGATAGGAGAGCTCAAAGGTCCCTATCACAACACTTATTTTCTGCATTCCAATCACATAAAAACTTTATACTTGCCTGTCTGTAGCTATCAATCAGTTGTTGTGTCTTCATTCTTCCTCTTCATTGTTATTTGCAATACTCTCAAATGATGAAATAATAATGTTTTATCTTTTTTCTAAACTCTTTTATGTCACATTCATTGAGGAACCCAGTAATATTCCATTCAGATAATTTTTGTTTGAAATACTTATGTATCTATTTAAAACAGAAAGACAAAAAGTTACGTGTTAGATCTGCAAAAAAAATGATAAGATTATCCATATTTAACTTTCATACTTTGGGTGATAATATACCTCCGATGTTGTATAATATAGTGTACTGTATAGATAAAAACTATACTGCATAAATAAAAATTATACTGTATAGATAAAAAATTATAAGGTATAGATAAAAACACTGTATAGATTTTTGTCAATTATACTACACAACACCAGAAGTATATATCATACTCAATATCGTATAACCGTCTGTAAGTTCCATATTGAAAAAAGTATAACTTTTGGAGTAACTATTTGATTAAAAAAATGACGTGAAAATGTTTATTTTTGTTGCATGAAAATTATGCGCAAAAAATAAGCTGAACTTCGTGATTTATGATTGTCAGTGAACTCACATGACTTATCTTTTTGATATCATTCAAACTGAGTTTGTAATTTTCACAGTTACTTTGTTAACTTTGAAAAATAAAAATAAAAAATAAAATATACTGATATATGTAAGGACATATACTGTAAATATCGATATTCTTTAAATTTTTTTACAAGAGTTCCTGACAGACTTCGTGCAGCCAAGCCAAGTGGTGGCTAATCTCTGAAAAAGTGAACTTTTCTCAAATCTATTCATGTACAGACCAAGTGGTGGTGACAAATTGAGTTTACTTCCTCTAGTTTCAGAAAAAAATAAGTAAAAAAAAGTAAAAAAAAAATGGAGGTAATACTATTTTTATTTTATTATATAAAATAGATAAAGAATTCACCAACCAGAGCCTCACCTTTTTATATGATTTGTAGCGGATCTAAATCGATTTTGGAAGGGAAAATTACGTTAACTTGATCTAAAATCGTTATGTTCAAGAATGTTCCTGTGATATAATGACGTACCACGAAATATTATTACTTATGCAAAATACACTGCCAAAAACGGAATAAAAGATTTACTACTTACTTTAGACAACAATGAGTAAATGACTATATTTATAATTTTAAACGGTAATATCATTTTGACTAGAAAAGTCTCTTCACAAAAAAAATGGGACAGACACATCCAAAGCCAGAAACACATCCCAAGCCCAATAGTGATAAATCTAAAAATGATTTGTTCACTGATCTGCCACCAGCTCCACGAGCGTATACTGATAATTTTTGGAGAAAAGAAAACGATGCTGACAGGTTTTGTAAACGTACTATTGAGGTACTTAACCAATTTCGTCAGCTTGAACTTGAATCACTAGAGTCGGATGATGAAAAGGAATCAAAAATTGAGGAACTTTGTGCGAAGTATCCTTGTGCTTATATTCCATTAGATGTTGATAAAGATGGTTATGTGCGAGGATTTAATCTCTTTGGATCAATATCAACTTATATTTATGGAGAAGAGTTAAAAGAATATGGGGAGACCTTAATTGTTTGTATTGGTTTAGAAGACACTAATGCAATGATATACTTGGGTGGTAGTGGTAAATTGTACATGTCTTATCATTATGAACCGCTAAAATTTTTGTATAATTACAAAGATATAGGCGTAAAAAGCTCTGATGTGTTTCAAAATTACTGAAATATATTTTGAAACATAATTTTGCTTCTTATCAATACTCAAAGTAGAATTAGAAGATCATAATTGTATCTCAAAAGTATAATCCACTTTTTAAAAGTAGAGGCTAGTAAGACATAATGCTGATTTTTTTTCTTAAAGCATAATTCTTTTCTTTTCCATGAATTATTAATTGCTTCTGATTCTTTCATTTTAAATAAATACTAAGCTTCAGTATTCTTGTTACAGACAGTATTTTTATGTTCTATAAAGCTCTAACTATAAATACCATCTTTATTAAAAATTAATATTGCTATTATAACAATTGTAGTATAGTGAAGTGGGTTGATTTCTTTTCGTTTCTTTTTATCGCCGTTTTGCAAAATGGTGCGATCTTCACTATATAAAAAATTTGCGAATTTCATATAAGTTTTTAGACTGGTTTTTTTCCTTTAAATAAGTAATAACGAATATTCTTTCAAATCAAATTATATTAACATTAAAACTTACTAAAATAATTTTAGATTGAAATGGAAAAAAGTTTAATTAAGATGGCGAATTATTTACTGTCAGGCTGAAGGTTTTACACAGAAAGAATTTGCTAAAAGATGTATATTAGTGAAGCTACTGTTAACAAAGTCTGTAGAATTTTTAAAAAGTGGGAATGTGTAGGAGATCCATTTGCTAGTAGAATAAAAGGAAATGATTGATTATTTTTTTTTGATAGATAATCGTAATTAAAATTCTATTTATTTGTGATTGTTGAAAAGAAGTATCATCTGTTAGTAGAGGAGAAATTACAATAATTAATAATATTTTTTTGTTCTTTTTCAGCTGCTTTAACATCTCAGTTAATCATGCAAAACAAAGTGTAAAATTTGTTTGATTACTAAATAGTAAAGTATTTTTTTGTTTTTCATGTACTTGTTCAGGTTTTTAAACTAAATTTCGAAAATATATCACTTTAAAATGATTATATCAGGAAATTTTAGGGCGTTGAATATGTTGACAGACATCAGGCCAAAAAGTGTTACAAACCTCAACTGATGGCATTTAAAAATACGTCGTACAACTCAATTTAGGTGTTGAGCAATGGCATATAGCAACAACACTATTTAACAACATATTTTAAGTATAGAAAAACGTGTAAATTAATATAATTTTATATAAAGCATTACGTTTTATTAATATTATTTAATTACTGTATTTACAAATTGTATAATTGTATTTATCACTATTACTGTAACTATCTAATGTAAACTATGTATAAAATTAATAAAATAAAATAAAAAAGTTATCCAATGAAATTTTACGTAAAGAGTCATCCAAGAACCTACAAAATAAAAATGAAATATTAATAAAATAATGTTTCATTAAAAAATGCAAAGAAAACTTGCCTGAAATCCTCATTTACTTTACTTTTGAAATGTCCCAAAAAAACCTATGCCTGGAACCTAAAAAAAGAAGAATGAAATATTAATTATTAATATTTCATTCAAAAAATAAAAAAAATCAAAGGACTTTTACCTTTGAAATGTTTCTGAAAACCCATGTAAAAGAAAAATGACCATACAAAACTTATAAAAGAAAATAAACAAATATTAATAAATGTTTCATTTATAGTTTACTACCTCTATCATTATTGTCAATTCTCGTTCTTCTATCTAACATTTCTTAAAATTACAACAGGACTTAAAATGCATGATTTTCTTTTGATCAAAGAAAAATTAACTTTTTTTACAATTTGAACATAATTTTGCATATAAAAATATGTTGAAATTAAGTTATTTTTTATTTTTTTCTACTTGTTTTTTTCTTTTTAAATTTCTTTTAATTTCAAATCTTCAGAATTTTCAGAATTTTCAGATTCTTAATATTTGATTTTTAATTCCACATTTTCAATTTCATTTGAAGGGACAAATGTATCTATGGGCTTTATATCATCTGATGAAGCACAATTCTGAGAATCTTTATTAAAGAGCTCTTATTTAATATCTGATTTATTTATAAAAAGTTATATGTGTTTATAAGTATTGCATTACCTGAAGATGTATAATTTTGAAAATTTTTGTCAACTGGTTTTTATTCAATCTCCAGTTTTGATAATACTTCATTTACAATTTCATTTGAAAATACAACTGTATCTATAGGCATTGCGTTCTTAAAATACAGTTCATCTAACCGGCATTTCTACAAAAAATACAAAAAAAATAAACTATTAATATTAATGTATTTTTTATATTAAATTAATAAAAAAAACTATATGTTCATTAAAAAACATCACAAATACCAATTAGTATACACTAATATAAATTTATTAATCATATTATAATGATCAATATATTAAAAGTTCTTGAAAAATAGACATTAATATAGGAAATAATGAAAAAAATAAAAAAGTTATACAAATTCATTGGTTTTTTAGTTTTTATACAGCCAAAGCTATAAAAAAAAAAATGTAAATAAAAGACTTATAAAATAATATATATGGGTTCTTCAATAGAAAGAAAGGAAACTGCTAAAAAAAAACTTTTTTAGTTAATATTAATTCTGAATAAATTATAATATTTGAAACATTTTTAATATATAAATATAAATTTAATTTTTTTGGTAATTTTCTTCCTTTCTATTGCAAAGAATCCATATAAATTATATATAAAATATAATTAAAGAAGATTATATTTTTAAGTATGAAAAATGGTATATTTTAAAAAAAAAAATAGTCTTAATATATTAAAGATAAAGAACAATTAGATGTAGCTATCAGAAAGGACAATACTATAATTAACGTAAACTAAACTTGGATTATTTATGGGAAGAAAAGAAATATTCTGATCAAGAATATTGGATATCCATAAATGATAATAAGAGGAGATCCATACTTTCTGGCCTAATAATAGCAATATCTATAGTCTATACCATCTACAGAAACAGGATAGACATCCTTATATTGTTATATTATTGCCAATTATTTTGCCAATCATCTATTTTAATATTATTTTATAAAAAATACCATTTTTTTGCAAATTTAATTATATAAATTTTATTTGTTATTAAAATTTATCTAAAGCCTGAAAATTAATATTTTCAAATCACTAAAACCCAAAAATGGGCTGAATTTTAATAATAATTAAAAAATTAAATTATTTTAATGATATTGTGACAACCAGTGATTAAAATTTTTAAATGCTTTATAGCTTTTTAGATTCATCTTGTCAAGACAAATATTTTAATAAAAATTTCATAAATTTTTTACGTCAAATTGATTGAGAAATTGCATTTTGAAAATTTTTATTTATTATATAGATTATAACAAATATAATTGCAAATATAAATTTAACCATAACTTCTTAATTACCTAAAATTAGAAATAATTACTTTGGCTATTGATTTTAAATCAGTTAAACTATGATCCATAAAAGTTTCAAGCTTCAGCTAATAAACTTCTGTAACTTCGACTAAAACTTTAAAGTCTAATATTACCTAATTTACTATAAGATTAGCAAATGATTAGTAAGATGATATAAAGATATTTGTCCTGTTATCTACAGACAAAAATTTAAAGAAAATTTACTAAATAAAGATCTATTACAAAATCTATTGACTTCATTAAAATAATACACTTTACCAGAATAGGTAGTTATAAAAATTAATTATTTTTGAAAGCAAAAAAAAAAAAAAGACTAAACATTTTTACAGATTGAGGATGAAAGAAGTAATAAGATGGAAATATTTTTCAAAATGAAATGAGAAAACAGCTAAAGAAACTTAGTACTAAAACAGTCATTTTAATAGAACTTAAGAAGTATCATAGTATTAAGATGAAAAAGGAAAGGATAGACAACTTTCATAAAAAAAATAAAGATAGAAGTACTAAAAATGGTAAAGATAGAGATTGTAGGGAAAGATATTAGTTATAGTACAAAAATATATTAAATTATATAAACCTTAGATTAATTTTAATAAGTAAATTTAGATACCTATTTTATTTCTAAGAATAATTAATGCTTTTTTGGCAATTTTGTGATTTATATTATATGATCATATGACTGTGTTTTAAATACTTTTGATTTCAGTTTTTTAAAATATTTTCCATTTTTTTTAATAATCATTAGTATACTGTATAACAATGTGTTGAGCAATATGTATACTAATATTGCTGCTGAAATTTATTTAACGATAAAATTCAAAAATCTGAACTCAAAAACTTTATTTTTAATGAAAAAATTGGTAAATCTGAAACTTTCCTAAATTATAATTAGTTTCAGAAAAACATAAAAACAGTTTTAACAATTAAATTTATTATAAAAAATAGTTTTAGATTAAATTTTGACTAAACTAAAATTTTAAAAAAATAGTTTTAGATTAAATTTTGACTAAACTAAAATTTTAAAAAAATAGTTTTGGCAAACATTCTTACTTTCTGGCTGAAAAATTGAGAAGGAGAGAGAGAATAATTTAAACAGCATAACGGAATTTCCCCCTGATTGGCCACAATTTAAATGTTTTGTAAAGACTGTGATTGGCTAGATCCCAAAATGTGCTTTACGCGTGCTCACGTGTTTTACTTATAAACAGGTTTTATTACTTGTTTTATCTAACTTGTCACGGGACTAATTATTAATCTATTAATCATGGTAACGAAAAAAAATTTTGGACCTTGCTCAGTAGATAATTGTACATATAGAAATGTTAGTTTTCGTTTAATTACAGAACTTGCATACCAGAAATGCCAAAAGGAAAATACATTAGAAACATACCCTTATCTTGAAATAGGAAAACAACTTTGCCATTTACATTATTGCAAAATAGTGGAATCTAATAGAAATAGAAATAAAAAAAGAAGGTTAAAAAGCCAAGAATGCAGTAGGAAGAAAGTCACAAATGAAGAAGAAGGTATCTCAAAATAATTGTTACTAGCTGAAAGACTTCTTTTTAAATGGTTAACTTATATCTCTTTAGCTTTGTATAGAGATCCCACTTTCGCATCAAATATCAAAATATTAACAACTGTATTATTCAACAAATAACGTCGAGAATCTGCTGGTTTGGAATTGGATCCAGTACAATTTCAACTTATGATTGAAGATGCTAATCCCGAATTAAAAGGATTCTTTCCTTCAATGGTTAATGCTATTATTCCTAAAGACCGATCAGAATATAATAAACAGGAAGCCAAAAAATCAATTGTTGCTCTATGTTATATAATTGCTGGTTTGCGTAACAAATTCGTTAACCAATTCAAGACAGAAGTTGGATTGTATTTGGTAGCATCAGGTGCTACATGGGAAGCTATTGATACATTATCAAGTATTGGATATTCAGCTTGTGCTAAAACAGTTATGGACTATCAGAAGAAGATTCAATTGAATCACATAACCAAGATTGAAGATCACTTTTTAGAAAAGGTAAACATTATTAAAAAAGTGGTTTATGCTTTATGTATTGTAAAATTGATTTTTTTTATTTGTAATAGGGAGATTGCCTGCATATTTATAACATAGATGATTATCATGACATTCATGAAAAGCGTAGACCAGATACAGTGACAACATCAACGGCAAAGCATTTTTCTACTTGCGTAGCAAAACCTGTTATGGAATGCTTTGCAGTACCAATTGTATTTAATGGAGTATCTGTTCACAATCCAAATAATGTTGAAGCACCAAGAATTTGTTGGTATTTGCTTAACAAATATACTGGAAACTTTGATATCACATATACAGAACGTCAGATATATTGGATTTCACAAGGATATCAAAACGCTAATACTTTTGATCGTATTGAACTTTTAACTATTCATTGTTATGATGATGCTATTGCAGAGCGAAAGGATGAAAGATCAATGAAAGATCTTCAATTAATTGGCTTTAAAGAACAGCATTTACATTCAATGCAGGACTACTTGAATGC